TAATTTATATAATATTATATATAATATACATAATTTATAGGAAACAGCAAGTGTGACAGCCTAAAAAAAGGCAATTTTTGGGAACTTAGGAATACACAGTAAAATTGTTGATGAAAACATAGTAACACGCAATCTTAGACGGTCCTCCACCACTGCAGTGATTCCGGCCTTCTTCGTGTATGAAACGTAAAAAAAATCTCTGCTAGAAGATATTGTCCATACAATGACCGTGATTTAGTTTTGAGGAGAAAAATCTGTTTAAAGTTAAACTGATGCGAGTTGATTGAACTGAGCGGCTACACTTAAGAAAACTGTAACTTAAAAACTATTTGAGATACCGATTAAACATTTTAGTATGTTATCTTTAATGATTTGTGCAAATTGTGTTTTTCTTTAATTTCACATTGCGTGTGCCCCTTAATGAGTAAAAGAAAATATTTAACTAATCAAAGTAATAGAGGGATGCAAAAAGTACATCATACTCACTTCTCATGTGAAACAGAGATTTGTGAAGATTTGCAGTTGAACTTGAAAGGTGGTTTGTTTTAAAAAAATGTTAAATAAGTAAATATATTATCAGCAAAAGATTACGGTACGAGTTCGAACGAAAATTTTTAGTCGGATATATATTTGAGAAGGGTTGCCACCTAGTTGACAAATTTCATTCAAAAATATTGTTGATATAATTTCTATATTACAATGAGTTTTATTATATATTTTATTATGTTATATTGTATTTGAGTTAGATATACAATTGTTCCGTGTGATGTGAAAATCAAATCAAACTAAACGAGCCATTCCGCCGTATATGTCATGATTTTAATTCGCATTCCAGCACATTTGACTTATCTGACTCACTTTTCAAAATTAAAAAGACTTTATTGTTTTCTCTTAATAAATGAAAATGTAACAATTTATTATATTGTAACTTTAGATCTTAGCTGTTGAAATTTTTGTTTCTGTAGCTGAGCAGTTTTAGATCTCAACACTTAAAAAACTCTCTTGCCTTTTCTGACTCGGTTAATTCCACACGTATGCGGATTGCGCCCCTCGCGTCGGTTTGGCGGGAGAAGGGTAATCTTTGGGTTATTATTAAAAAATTATGTACTAAACTCCCTTATCAGAAAACAGTGATATCATTTCTGCAATATTGTAATTCAAATATTGTGTGAGAGCTATTTTGAATATCTAAAAATCATGAAGTATTTAAAATAATTTTTGCAATATTCAAAATCATTTTTCTTCTAGTTATTAAATAGTATAAGACACAGCCAGAAATTGTCCTAACTCCATATTACCTTTTAAGAAATTGTGAAGTTTGTATGGCGGCTATATGCTATATCTGATCTATACGAGGGCCTGATTTGCTTCGACCAGTTTGTATGGCAGCTATATGCTGATATTGTTATGAAAAATGAGCAGCTTTTTGGGGAGAAAAGGACGTGTACAAAATTTCAAATCGATGTCTCAAAAATTTAGGGATTAGTTCGCGTATATACAGACAGACAGACGGACATGACTAAATCGACTCAACTTGTCACGATGATAATTTATATATACATCTTATAGGATCTCCGACGTTTCCTTCTGTGTTTAAAAAACTTCGCGGCAAACTCAATATACCCTGTTCAGAGTAGAAAAATATTTGTTTAGCGAGATATCAGCCATTTACCAAGTTACAAAAATAAACAAGAAACAAATTTTGCGGTCCAAAATATATTTGATGTGTTCTACAAGCTTTATATTCATTTATATGTTTCAGTGTTAAGGCGGATCCTGTTCACATATTTTTTAAATGAGGATCTTAACAATGTTTTCCAGTTAATGTTCACTTTTCCGGCAGCTTTGTCTAAAAATTTGGTGATATTTTTGTAAATTTTAATTTGATTTTATGTCAAAATATTATTTCTAATTTAAAACATCTTTACCGTCACTATAACTATGCAAGGTACTTTGCGTGAATAATGGCGACGCGTTAAAAATCAATGAACTGAAATTGTGTGCGACAGCATAGTCAACCGATCCGATCAGCTCCGCACCATTGTACTTGTATATGTATGTACAACATGTATAACTGTTCATTGACAGTGCAAAATCTACCTGGGCGGGCATCGGGGCGCATTTGGCGCACTCACGCTGTGCCTCTGTTTTTCCATGTTTCACATTTTGCATTTGTGCGCTTTTGCTTTGTTTGCATGGGTGCATATGTCCGTGTGCGCGGAGGCTAGTCACTTTGGATGTGTGCCATCTACACCGGTAATTACTGCCACGTGACAATGAAAATTACTTGCTGTTCACATTTCTGTTGCATTGTCCCCACACCATTGTTCTACGAATTTCGAAGCTTTTAGGCTTTTATTGTGTTTGTTTCTCCTGAAAAAAGCTGGATAGAATTTAAAGATTTATAATAAACAGGATTTTGAAAAGTGGAAAGTAAATTTTTTTTAAAATGTATCCTGAAATAATAGGTAAATTTTTTCACTTGATTTAGAATTAAGGACTTTAAGGTGTTTCTAGTATTTCGTAGTACTTTATACAAAATACCGATGAAATATGGATATTCTCTTAAAATATGATCTTATAGTCACCTCATCTATTGCGCGTACTTCCTAGAAGAATATTTAAACTGGATCCAAATAAGGCATTGAGCCTTAATAACCCAAAAAATTTATACCACCATTATTTTTCTATCTATAAGCCACTACTTTCAAATATACATATATGTCTATCGACTTAGAATTGCCGTATGCTTTCTAGGTACATCCTTATCTGAGTACGTTCATTGTAGGTATTTGACGTCTATTCGATCAACTCAAAAAGCCTAAGACTAGGCGCACACTAAAGTTTTTTCTGAACTATGCCCTGTTCTCCTTACGTTCATTAATCATTACAAGAAACTGAATCATCTACGTTAAAAAAATTATATCGCTAAAGAAACTTATATTATAACTTTATTTAAAGAAACTTAATTTTGTATCCATATTTTTTATCTTTTTCAAGCAGGTCTAGGTTAGAGATATTATATTCTAAGAAAGCAAACGTCATAAGCATTACATAAATTAGCCATACACAATTAGAACCAAGTTTCTACATAGTAAAATCACATCTTCACATCTTTATGCTAATAGTGATCGAAATCGGACCATACATTTTTAAGCCCCAAGCCTGACAGCCTGGTACAAAAATTAGGTTAGTTTTTTTCCTAGGCCCCTGTAAATATCAGGTGTAGTAAAAAGAAATCCATTCTTTATCCAATAGATGGCGTTATTTATCTGTGTCTCGCGTTGTATAAGTCCGATTGAGTTCGGCTGGATGGCGTTAGAAAGATGACATTTCGTACTAAAAAAGCTTTTCTGAGAGTTTCGTGATTGGTTCATTCAGTTTTGTTTGAGCGTGCGTCAAAGATGGACACTAGCAAAAAGAAAATAGCTATATTTTACAGTTTTTTTTTCGATAAGGGCAAAAACGCAAGCCAGACGGCAAAAAGGGAAATAGTTGGTTCTTTTTATGTCGAATACATCGGTTAATATGTGTGCCATTTTATTGTAATTAAAATCATTTGAATTTCTTATAATCAAGTGACAAATGTGAATGGAATATGTCCCATCCTTATACCCAATTTAAAGGTTTTCGCTTTTCTGCGTGATTGTAGTCGTGTCACGACTTTGACCCGAATTTAAGCATTCATTAAGTTTTGTTAATCTAAGTTTTTGGATTACGATATTAACATATTTTTGAGACATTTATTTTTAAAATGCAGCTTACTAGAGTTTGTTGCTTTATATTTAGCATATATTGTTTGACCGTAAATATTATTGTAATTCTTATATTCAATTTTCTACAACCACATTTTCTTAAGTCATTTCAAGAATAACACACTTTGACCGCACTTTTTCAATTTGCAAACCACTTGATGTCCTTTGCAATGCCCGAACTGCTTAGAGAAAAGGGTTGCTGCATCCTGCCACTATAAGCCTTCATAAATATTCAAATGAAATTTTCATTTAAAACTCTAAAGCGAAAGGAAAAAGAAGTTGACAGGCACCAAATGCTTTAGATTGAGTACAAACAGCAGATGGCGCTGTGTGGGGTTATAGGGACAAACAGAGGCTAATGGTAAGTGAATGATGCAGAAGGAAGATACAAAGTGATGCGGCTTGATTGTAAGCAAATGCATGCTTGAGTGTATGGGACACAGCAAGTGGTAATGGAATAACGGCAAAGGCCAAACAACCGAAAGATAGTAACATAAATGGCGCAAACAGAGGCAGGAACGACTGCGACAGAGAAGGAGGACAAATGAATATACAGAAGCAGCAGACTTTCAACGACAGCTTGCAGCGAGTGTAAGGGAACGCAAGCACTTTATTTAAAGACACATATGCCGACTGTTGAGCTGCCGTTCGCAGGCGATCTAAAGCTTACGAAGCGAAGAAGAAAATATTAAAATGAATAAATAAAAGCGTTGCAAAAGCTTGCTTGCAAAGGACACTTCGCAGGCGTTGAGCTCGTAAATAAATCAATGGACAATTTTTATTATGCCCAGGCATGCTGGCGAGGCACAGTAGTGGCAAACAGGCATGCGTGTGTGTTTGTAAGAAATTCTGTCATCAGCACTGGCGACAAAGACGCTCTCGACAACTGCATCAGCTCATCTCCACAGAGCTGCATATACTTGTAGTGAGTGCGTCTATCACATCAACTGCATTTGTGGCGCTTTGCATTGTAGTGACATTGGGTGTGTTTGCAGCAAAGCAATCTAAATAAATTTACAGGTCTATAAATTGTCAAAGCGCATAAGCATGCACTTGTAAATAAATTTGCAAAAGCGCATATTCACTTGAAGTCTGTATCTGATTCTTTCAATATGCTCGCTGCTCTCTATTTCGAGAAGCGGAAATTTCTTCACTTCCTTTTGGGGTTACGTAGCCGGTTATAGCTATGAATATAATTTGAATTTGGCATATGTTTTTTTTAAGTGTACTAAGAAAACTATAAACTTTACAATGTTGTTGTTTTTGTTTTATTCATCTCCAGTCTGAAGGTCAATTATTCAATTTTCCATTACTAGTTGACATTTATTTTTAAAGTTCGCAACTCCATCGAATTTATTTCTTGCAGCAATTGTCCTTGGCACCGCTCTTGCAATTGCATTTGCATTGCTGATCGCAGGGACAGCCATCTCCGCACTTAGCTGCAGTGCATTTGCAATCTGGTGAATAAAAGATAGAAAAATTAGATTTTTATTTATATTTGCCGTCATCCAATAAGCCTACAAGTACAAAACGCTAAAATTTGCCTAATCTCTCTTTTGCTAAATCTTACAATGAAGAAAGATTAAATCTTCAATAATATTTATCCATAAATATATAATATAATTTCAAGCTTATGTAAGCCAAATTTAGTCTTTCCAAATATTATATAAAAATAGCAGCTTAAATATTATAGTTTAATATCCAATAATATTGATCAATTTATTTAAAATATTTGGTAATCGTGGTTTTCTTTTATTTACTTAAAATAAAGCATTGAAAAATATTGCGCAGTAAAATTGTACAATAATATTGAAAATACAACTTTAGTAAGTCTTTTTGATTTTTGTGCCTTTGTAATTTCTATATTATATATACACAAGATTCTAAAATAAACTACTCTAATATTACGTATTTACTTTTGTTCCGTTCACATACCTTTAGAACACGCTGGACAACCCATTTTTATACAGTAAAATATTCAGTAAATTCTTTTTAAAAATTTATTTGTCCGAAGCTGTCTTTATGATTCACTTTCTCAAACTATACTTCCAATTACAAACGATCGACTTTATAAGCATTGCATATACAAATGCGTCGCGTGTAAACATATAAAAACGAATGTAAGCACTAGCACTTATATGAGTAACGCCTCTTGCGAGCGTGCAGTGCGCAATATTTCTGCATTCTCCACCCAACTTAAGCATTGTACGTTTTTGCACTTTACTGTCACATTTGGCACAATTTGTTTATCAGGCGAGCCCTTTTAAGCTTATTTGTTGAGCTGGCTCATTTCGCCTTGTGCACCGACGCTTCGGCGAATACCGCAATATTACACTAATAAAGCTATAGTATATTTTACTATTAATATTTATATTTTGCACTCCGCTAATTGCCGGTGATAAGAATTTGTTGTGCTCAACTTGTATTTTATGGGCTAAATGAAAATATGTTAGAGTTTATGTGGTGCCGTGTGGTTGTTGGTACTTTTACATTCACTGATAACTGATAAGATAAATAAACAGTTACATAGTGAAAGATACCACTTGTTATGATTAAACAGCGATAATACGTGACGTTATGCTGATTAAGCGGTAGATATACTACAGTTGTGATGGATAAATTCATTTATGTGACTAAATTACTATTTACTAGCGTCTCTCTGAGACTGAGTTGAATTTCATCACACTGTACAGCAAAAAAAAAGGTTTGTTTGGAAGCGACATAGATGTGAAATTAGGGAAATATATGAATATAAAGCTTATGAGTAGTCTGAGATGATGCTTGTGTATAACAAATAAAGAAGGTCAAAGTTCGAATGTACTCGAACATTTTATGCTCTCGCAATATGCAAAAATCAAAGTTGTTTCCGAAGGTGGTAAGGTGAATAGAATAGAAACAGTGAAGAAAGTTTTAAAATTGAGTATAGGGGGGCTAGATCATGGTGCGGACCGATTTTAATATAAAAAACAATTTTTGACGTTACATTGTGATCAAGAAAACTTGTACGCTTAACTTCATAAAACACATCGACCTATATATATGGTAAAAACTTGAAATCCAAAACATTTTGTCTCATTAGTAGTTTTGGTTTTGAAAAACTATAGTCCGATTTCAACCACTAGATGATAGATACACCTTGAATATACTATTTGTGCCAAGTTTTATTCCTATAACTTTATTATAATAAAGTAAATAATCTGATGGAATCTAAAACGGTTGCAGTTCGATTTTGGTTATTTTTAGACTGTAGATAAATATTTTTAATAGCGATACGCACTAAATTTGAATTAAATGGACCGAACTGTTACTGACTTATAGAATTTCGTCTATTAGTGTACGGCGCCAAGTTCTTTTTCCAAATTTTGGCTGATTCCCTTATGTGGCCTCCTTAACTTTTTATTAAAAATACCAATATCATTTAGCAAGGTTGCCAACTCTTTGAAATAGTTATATATTTGAAAATTATTAAAGGCGTTTTTTTAATCCGGGAGTGTTTCTTATGAAAAATGAAAATTTGTTTAAAACTTATTGGACCCTCCATTTGGTGCATAACTTAAATATACACAACGTTCATATAGAGAGTAGCGTGAAAAATATAGAGAACAGTGGTAAGTACAAGTGATTGTGGATGTTATTTTGCATGGCATAATTATATTGATGGTAAAATTATAGCTGATCCTAATTTTGACTAATTTGACGTTATCAATCGTAAATATTTAATTCTTCTGCAAGGGCTATGAAGTTAATAAAGTTCAGATACTTTGCCGAGACAAAAAAGCGCTCAAATATGAAAATTAAATAGGATTTTTTGCAGTGTCTAATAAGAATGTTTGGGTAACCTCATACACCAAATTTGGTTGCAATCGGTCGAGTAGTTCCTGAGGTATAGGATTTCAACTAAAGGTGGTGCCACGCCCCTTGTCCAATTTTCACACGAGATCCTGAAAGGCCCTTCTCTACCATCCTGGTTATGAAATTTAATGTTTCTGGCTCATTTATTCAGTGAGTTATATGGGGAGTGGGCGTGGTTATTATCCGATTTTACCCATTTTTATAGATTTTGAAGAGATAAAATGACTTATTACCAGAAATTTAGGTTGATATATTTTACGCGGTTTGGAAGATATGTACATTTAACCATTTTAGGGGCGGAGCGACGCCCAGTTTTAAAGAATTTTTAGTCCACAGTTTTCCCTGGCTACCTCGATCACTTGCACCAAATTACAGTTTTGGATCTTAATTTGCGGCTTATATATATATAACCCTATATCTATCTCTATTATTTTTAGGTGATACAAGCAACCGTTAGGTAAACAAAACTATTATACTCTGTAGCAATAGGTTGCAATACTATAAAATACATATATTATGTCTTTGATCCACAAATAATTTACGAAGGTTTTGCTATGTTGCTAATCTGGGAATGAATATATGTCCTGGTCTAGCATGATGACGTAGACACATAAAATATTTCCTTATTTTCTTAGTTTTACCATCGCAAATAAGAGTTGTCTCTAAATTTGTAGACTACTTTCCGTCCGGAAGATCTATTTCTCTTTTTCCATTTTTCTTTGATAATAATGTACCTTTGTGTCAAAAATGGTTTAAATCGTATCAATAGTTCCCTTAGCCTCCATATAACTAATATAAATATTTTCGAACATACAATTGTCTTTATACCATATATTATATATCCGCCAATGTTCCAGTTATTTTAATCAAATAGAGACAGCGTGTTTTCCTAATAACAGTATTTTTTTTGTGCCTAAAATGGATAAAAAAAAAATTGTATTGCCTTTACTCCATATATATGGGTTATATTTATATATTTATAAAATTGCTTAAAAATAAGTGCTCAATGCGAGCAATGACAAAAATGAATGCAATCTGCCCTAACATTTCTATGCCGCCAATGACTTTAGTATAATTTTCGCTTACGGAAAAATATATAGTAATAAAACTAAATGAGTCTATGATCTTCAAAATAAGTTAATATGATACCAAATTTGATTTTAATCCATTCACCATTTTGTCGAACAATAAAGTTGAACCTTTTGGCAACATTTATTAATATAATACAGTTTAGCATAAACCTGAAGGTACTTCATCGGCTTTGATCCTTGGAAGTTGCAAGAGTATGAAATGTTCGCTTACACTACATCTTGGCCTTCTTTACTTGTTTTAAACAAGATTTTTTCGTTAGCAATCGCAATTCACAGATTCATAATCTTTTTTCATTTTTGTTTTTAATCCAGATGAAAATTGATATTTTCTTTCTAAGTAACTTGAGAAATACCAAAGAACTCGCTAAAAGTACATGTTTTTTTTTTAGTTTTTGCATTTCGTGAACCAGTTTTCTGTAAATAATGTCCGCTCATACACAAGGGGGGCCCCTGAATCGGGAACTGGATGTTTCTACATCCGCCTTCGATTCGCTGATTTGCATGAAAAGCTTTTCCAAATCAAGGGCTTGTTCAGCTCCTGCATGTGTACTACAAAAACTTTTCGCTTCATTTGAGCTATAGTCTCAGCCGAGACTAGAGCGCTTAGCTAACAGGGTCTTTTAAAACAATTTACCTTTCCAGATAACGTATTTATTTTACTCTCAAAAAGAAAAATTAATATCTACAAATATCCAAAAAAGACTTGCATCCTTCCGTGTCGCATTATAATTTGCTTGTTAAATGCTTCGCTGCTCCCAAAAGTGTTCCCACAATGTTCACAACTCTATGAAATAATTTAAATGACAACCTTATGTCTCCGCCGCCCTGTTGAGGGCCCCGGCATTGCTACACATTGAAAAATAATTACATGCTCGTTGGCGCGAAATTGTCGGTGAGCCAAAGTTAGAACTCCCCTGTTGACAGCCAATCGCCGGCGCGTTAAGCGTGCGGAAAGTCACGCGCGAAAATCAATGCTACTTAAAATATGCAAATTTTTATTTCCGCGACAATTTCAATTTCAATTTCTGTTCAAGAAATTCCCCAAACATCGCACATAATAACGGTAAAACGCACATACACTCAACATATAACGGAACTTTGAAGGTTGTGAACGGATATCAAAAGGAAAAGTTGCGCGCACTGAGCAAAGTTCTGTTCCTCTATATGTATGTGTGTATGTGGAGCTGTTGTAGACACGCACTTTTCAATTCTTTTTTGCGCATTTCCATGCGGCGACGACTACTATAACGGGAATTGCTCTCAATAGTGTCGTTAACGCGAGCGTGTGCAAATTCACATATACGGAATGGCATTTGTATGTATGTATGTGTGCGCATGCAAACTACCTTCATAATAATAACAACAATGGTATTGGTGGTAAGGCAAATCGCAGCGGCGTCTACAACAAAATGTTTATGAGCAAAATTACCACACTTCAACTACCCAGTCGCGGCATTCGTGGCGCTCACGCTTATGCATACTGGCGCGTAGGGCATGCCCCTCCCTCTTTGCCGCGGTAAATACGATGTGGAACATGGAAATGGCAGCGCACATATACAAACTCATTGAAAAACGCATAAACAGTGCATAAATTTTATGTTTCGTCTGCTTACCACCGAACCACTGTTGACTGCCTTACTTCTTTTCTGGTCGTTGGCCGCCGGCTTTTATGGGCTAAACCCGAACGCCTCAAAACTACCAATTTTCATTTGGGCACTAAGCCATTTGGCTGCACATTATGCCAACATAATAGGTAGTTTGCGGTGGGCGGCCACTTCTATGGTGGCACAATTACAATTTCCGCTACTTGCGTGCACTGGGTGTCTTTGTGTGTATATGAATGTGTGTGTGTGCCTGTGCACCTAAAACTCTTTGGAAATTGTGTGTCTGCTGCGAGTGAAAATGGCGCATTTTGAGGCCAACAACAACTACGGTTACAAATTTAAAAGCCAAAACATGCTTGGTGTGTTCATGTTTGTGTGTGTGTGACAATGCACATGCAAGTTGAGTAAAAGTGAAAGTTGCCAATAACGAAAGTTCATTTATTTAGCCGGAAATTAGAAACTGCAGCCAAGTTTAAATTATCAGCAAATGGTATAAATGCTGCTGGAATATTGAACGGGGTTTGAATAGTAGTAGTTTCGGTAAATATCTGTCTCAATCTATATATAGCTAGTATGTATATTGTATTAAGAATATTAAGCAAATATATAGCAGTATATAATGCACATCCGATTAGTATTGAATTGTAATCATCCGTGTATTACATCCTTTCAATAAGCTCCAATTCTGAACTACAACCTCGTGCCGACAACGATCGGCTCGAACACAAATTTAGCAATATCTTTTCGTTGTAGGCATTAGAACCGATCAGATTGAGTGCGAGACTGTGTATCGATAAAACAAAGGCTCGAAAGCAGTGTAAGAAAAGTTGGACCATTGTCACGTTCACGAACAGCCACCAATTTTAGTAAAGCCACTTTAAATGGCTCATCGAAGTATAAAAGACCGTCTGCAGTTTAACACATATTAAACGTGCTTAATTTACATATCTCAAAAACCTTTGTGAACCAAACTTGCCACAATTTTAGTAATGTTAAATGCAGAAAATATGAGAAATCGTGTGTCCACAAAATAATCCAACTCCCATATAACTGTT